ACATGAAAATAAACTAGAAAAAAAACGTATCAATAAATCTAATCCTTTAACCAGATTGATTAAAGGTCCAAATATATAGAATGTCGCTGTGATCGATAATATTGACTTCAAGGACATTGTTTTTAAGTATGGGAACATATATGATGTCACACAACAATCTGCGCATGCTACTCTAAGAATGGTGTTTCAATTTGAACTTTCATTCGATATATCATCCCTTGCTCAAAATCCGAAACCTCAAGAAAATTTATTCAGTCAATCAGCATTTACATCCGAATGTGATGAAAATTTTGATAAACTAGTAAAACAATTACTATATAAACACAATAAAAATTTTAGAATTGAAGAAATTAATGCTGAAATACTTACAGTTGTTGAGTCGGGATGTCAAATAAATCCACCAAATGTCGTTATTCTAGAGCCTGGACCAGCACCTAATAGCGATGAAGCCATATTTAAATCGATTGATATGTATTTAGAAGATCTGGGACAAGACATTGTTAATTTAGCATGCAATGCAGCTATTTTTACAAGAACAAAAACATATAAAAATAGCAACTTATCTTGTAAATTTATTCTAAGACAATGACACACTTCAAAAACTATATGTAGTGCCTTAATTGCGACATTTAGTAGATATGGCCTATACAGTATGGCAGCAAAGCTTGGTGTTAAATTTCTTGATAAATTAGAGCAAAATGTAGATTATCGTGCTACATGTAAAGTATTAGAATTAATACACATCGCTGTAGGAATAGCAATCCATCTTCATTTAAAAAATAACAATATGCTGTTAGATGTAGAAGCTATATTTACAGGAAATAACAATATTTTAAAGGTATGATTTTTATATTACCGTTTGGCTGGATATTGGAAAGCTCATCGTATAGGTATTCGTTTGGGTAATGCAGATATGCAATTAAAAAGTTTGGCAGCATTTGCACCATTATTTCCTGCTACTGGTAAAAATATTTATACATCATCAGTCGTAACTTTTTTAGAATCAGTATCATGTTATCCACAGCAATACGAACTATTCAAGCATGTTGCTTCAGTAAACATTACTAGAGAAAATCACTACTTAGCTTTTGATGAAGCTTTGGAACAATATGGTGTTAAATTTGTCAAGCAAAATTTAACCTCTGGTTTATCAGATCCAGCAACTCTAAAACAGAGAATAACAGCAATTCAAAATAAACGTGAAAGATTACTATTGTTATATGATGAATTTGTAGAAGATAATATAGTTAATACAGGAAATCGTACAATTAAACAATATACTGAAGCCTTATGGCAGCTTGTTGACGAACTTACTTTTGCATTTTATTATCCTGACCCTGCTCAGCACGATCTTTTCAAACATGCACAAGAAATGAATTACGATGGTTATATACGTATGTTTAATTTTTATAGAAATGGTCTTACTCGATTATATAATATTTTGCATGAAGATATTTATAAAACTAAACCGGTTACAAAAGGAAGACGGGTTAAAGATTTAGTTAGTATGTCGGCTAAACAATATTTATTAGCTAAGAAAAATTAAACTTTTAACTTACCCGATCTTATTAATTCCTATGTTGAATGAATTTCTTATATATAAAAATCTTCGATCTATTGTATTAGAAAAATTTAATAATAAACTCTACAGTATATTTCTAAGTAACCATATAGCCTGCTACCTATACTGACCTGATTTGTTAAAAAATTTTGAATAATGTGTCTTTCCGAAAATAATGTGAGCAATAAAGCTATAAATAATATACTTTTTAAGCTTATAATATAAAAAAGAAAAAAAGGTAAAGAATAAAATAAAAAGGTTATTTGTAAATGTAACAAAGCCCGTAGAACAAGTTTTTCTAATGTATAAAAGTCGACTATTTAGAAAGTTTTGTAAGTTTTCTTATTACGATCTAAAAGTAAGTATAAAATTCTTGTGTAACATTATTATGTAAAATCGATCTGTGTGACATGCGCCCTGACTGATAGAATATACTTCTCTTCTAACCTTAAACGATAGAGTTTATTGCTTTAAATCTTGCACTTATTCGATTGTTTTGATTTTCGCAGATTGGGCTAAGTCACGTGTCCGCGACTTTTTTCCGCCATGGCTAGAATTTTCTATTTTTCTGTTTATGCAGTTCGATTCGCACGACATAAAGATGCACTACATAAGTACATATTAGACATTTTTTAAATTTAAGTACTTTTAAATTGTTTTTTTTCACAACTCCCATAATTTCCTGAATCAAAGCGGGAGGTAATAAATTTAGTTCTATTCAAAAAAGACTATAAACATGAAAAATATTAAAATCTATTTGCGAAAGTGAATAAAATATGTAGTGAAACTATAAATAAAAACATAAATATAATAATAAAGTTCCCAAATTGGGGTGACAAGTTTTTTATATTTGACAAATATGAAGTTGTTAATAACCGTATTAAATCATTAAGAAATGCTTTCTCGGAAAAATTTAATGGCTTGTGTGAATCCCCGAATCATTTGACATGCATCTTTAAGGTTGTTAGACTTTGGTGTATCCCATTCATTATTCAAAATAAAACTTCTAGCATATCGGAAGCACATTTCTTCACGAAAATGGTCGTAAAGTCTTCTGTTAAATGCTCTCTGTAATTTTTAAAATAAGAATTTTATCAAAAATAAAAATCAAAATAGTAATCATTGTATGATATCAAAAGTTACCTCATGTTTTCTTGCATTTTCTAGATATTTGTGTGTTTGATGAATTAAAAAGTCCTCAGGAAGTACCCAATAGTCAACACCAGAAAGATATAATTCAAATAGGCATGCAGCTTTATTTGCACCATAGCCAACAAATCGTTCGTCACACCTAAAATAGTAAAGCTAGATTTAAATTACGAACATCAAAGCAATAACAGAAGAAATAAAGATATACGGTACCATATGCTATGTTTCGGGAATATAACATAAGGTTCATACTGGTGTTGATATTGCGTAACCTTATATAGCACGTTTGTATTATGCCACGCAGCGTAATTCGAGGGACCGTGGCCTGGTTTCCACGAGGCATGGAACATGACTAATCGTTTTGAATCAACTAATTCCAATGCATCCTTTTTCGTAGTTGGAAATGTACTATGATTAAGACCTTCATTCAAATCAGCGTACTCAAATGCAGGAACGACCAAAGCAGTATTTCCAGATCGAAGCATTTTCATGATCCTGGGGCTTCGCAGTATTTTTTGTCGGAAATTTGTGCAAGGATGAAAATCAACATCCAACATCATTATATAATTTGTTCTAGCAAAAAATTTTGCAATATTACGCCACATATTAAATTGCCGGTCAAATCTATCAACAACAAGATGAACATCAACATATTGTTTCATGTACGGGTTGCCATTGTATAAGTCATTAAGAGATTTGAGCAATTCTTCACGTGTCTCTTCATCATCACTAACATGTATTGTTACAGAAATTGGACCTGATTGGGCGTTCATGGGAAAACGAATGAATGACGGAGTATAAAACAAATTAAATGCCAAGAAAAATCATTTACCTTGATAGTTTGTGACGAGTCTATCAAAAACTGGAAAACGATTAGACGTTATTAACGTGGTAATAGTTATGTCTTCTTCATCGGGGGGATTATCAGCACGAAAATAATATGGAATTACATGTGAAGGTTGCATAGATTCAGAGAAAGCTTTGGATAAGAAAAACTCTTCTGTCATAGAATCATATACGCCTATTTAAATAATATAATATATTATATTAAACTTTTATTTATTTATTTTTTTTTTATTTTTAGCCATAATCTTTTTATGACACTATCCTAGGAACCATATTATCGAAACAATTAAATCAACATACCGCTATTTGAGTCCCAGGATAATTTATCTTGACCCCATTTAGCAGACGGTATTTCTAGTATTGGTTCATTTCGAGATTTTATGGTAATTAAGTCATTATAATTTGTATACATATGATATATGTAATTTGAGGTGTATATGGTAGATAATATTATGTAGACATTAAACAAGACTTTTATTGCTCTTTGAATGGGTTTTGTTCCTTCCACCCTTAGTTTAAACATCGCAAAGGTAGGTCAAATTCAGAACGTAGGTCAGATAAGTACTGCTGCCGCAAAGTGTTGAAACGTCTTTTTTTCACAAGGTCAATTTATGATAAATAGTTGTGAAAAAGTGCGGAAAGAGAGGTAGGAATAGAGCGAAGCTCGAGATCAGTGAATGTATATTTACAAACTCTTTAGATCCAAAAGCGACACACTCGCTTTTTTCTTAAGATAAAAAGAGTTAAGAAGCGGAGGCTTAAAAAGAAAGTAAATATGTTTTCCAGAATTCTAGAGATAATATGTGCATGTGTCACAAAATTGTGAAATTCGATTCTTTATATGCAATTTTATGTGATGCTTGTCATCGGAACTTTTAAAATCACATTATAAAACATTACCTCGTAAACTTTATATGCTGTATGCAAATCGATCTTTGCGTAAATTGATTGAGATAATAGGAATTTGAAGTTTTAATTTTCGATAAAAATAAAAAGTTACGTACGTACGTACGAATAATTTATTAATACCAACAGTTCACATATACGTATTCATTGAGCACGAATATATGCACATATTTATGGACGCTAATCAACCCCACTTCTGTAATTTTAATTAACTAAATCTTGGCTCTCCTAACCAAGAAAATACATACAAATAAGGTTAATTAAATTCAAGGTTTTAAATTTTAAGGATTGTGTGATCAATTACATACCTAATTAAGGTTTTCGTGAGAGGTATACTTAACCTGATTTCAATTCATTTTGTCGGATCATGGCTTATAAACTAACTATATGTCAATAGGATTAACGTTAATTAAATTTTCAAACATGTACGTACGTATAGGGTACCATTGTAGATTTAATAGAGTTCCCCAATCCGGATAATTCAAATAACATATGGGTGGATTTATTTCGCTGATTTATTTAGTTTACTATTAAAATTTTGGTCTTCGTAAAAATAACAACTTTTCTTATAAACTGTATTACACCCGGAACAACCTCTTAGAAGTTCGGTAGAACGTTTTACTATAGCGACGGATATATTAGAGATTTACCGGTATATTAAATGCCGATTTATGATAAGTATATGGTTAGTGCGGTTACGCTTTTAAGAGGATTGGGTGATTTGCAGTTACGAAAGAGGCAAACGGCTAAATGTATGTGAAGATACAGATAGTCGTATCAACAAGTTTACATAGAGTTTTCGAGTTATACGTGTATGAAGACATTATACGTAACAGGGTTATGGTTTACTGTGTATGGAGACACGATTACTCTTTAGCTAAAGCAACTACCCCAGCATCGCCACCAAAAATTTTCACGCTCACGTGACTATGCATTACACATCCAATCAAATCCAATCATGTGACATAAAGTTTTATTACCAATTTTTACTTATCGTTATCGTTATGCATAACTATTCGTATATAGAGCTACATATAAAGACGCATATATGAACAGCTCTAGCATCGCCCATAAAATAAATACAGCTGATATCATCACTGAGATTAAATTTATATTTCAGACTGCTGTCCGATAATGTTTTTTCCGACAACTTTTTTTTTCGCAAATATTTATTTTATTTATTTTGTATAATGTAATATTATAAATATTGTTGAATATAAAAAATACATATATTTCTTTCGCATTTAACTAAAGCAATTTAATTTTTAATAATTTTATTCAATTAAAAATAATTATGAATTCCAATACATTGTGTTTCGATTTAAATCTTTCCAAGTTCGAGGCATAGTTTTACGATTTTCAAGTTTCTTAATATCTTCCACCATGCTTTCTAATGCCTTGAAATTTGATTGAACTGATTTCAGCCAAAGATCACCATTGGGTTTATTTCGGGATTTATTAAGTAAAATTTTGCTCTAATAAAAGTTATTTTTATGTAAATAAAGCTTACAATATATATTTATTATACATACATATATACATACCTCTTCAAGAACATTGCACAAATAATTTAAAACATAATTCGGGTTTTTTTCTTCGT